TATATGAATCGTATGGAAACAAATTTTGATTTATATTCAAAGCCAAAAATTTAAGGATCCAACAGAGATCATTACACTAATAAGGAAAACAGGTCGGGAAGAAACAACAGTTGCTATTGGAGTGTCTTACAGTTGATCTTAGGAAGTTCAAAATTTTGAAAGTAAAGTGCTCAGATTTCAGTGAAATATTTGCATATAATTAGTACAGATTGCAAAACAATCTGCTACAAAAGAAATATACATCATGCTCACATTGGAGGACAAGCAATAGTTTCACAATAAAAACACTCATTAAAGATGTCATTTGTTATATTCACATAAATATATCATGCAATATATCATGCATACTCTGGCATATAGATTTATGGAAACTAAGGGATTGGAACATTCAAGAAGAGAAACCTACACCAACCAAGATTACACTAGAAAATTAAAGATTCCATTTTTAAACATATATCCCATAGGAAATATTTTACTTGACAAGAAAACTGAATGTTATTTGCTGGAACTATGAAAATTTAAACATAACAGAAAATAGAACTGTTCATAAATTACATCAGAGAAAGTAAACATTCAAGCATAAAGTCATATGAAGTACTACAAAGGAGAAAACATCGGCAACTATAGTGACTGCATAAGATATATAAAGCTCGTTACACACATCAACAGAATGGAAAACATTGATTTTAAGTTATTAATCAAGTAGTATGATGTTTATATATACACAGTCTCAAAGCATTTTACTATGTAACAGAAAAGATTGCACACCTCATATGGAAAGGTGAGAAAGAGTGTATTTCCAGCATATTATGTATCTCTCCTTTGCCAAATACAAGACCAGAAGTCCACATTACTCTGCTTCCTGCATCTTAACGTTGTGGTACCCAAGTATCCTTCTGCTTCTTCAACCAACACTGAAATCCCACAAGAAGTTAATAAATTTTCCTAGAGATTGATAATCATTGCTTCAATACAGCCTAAAAAGGTCGAATCTTCAATTACTGACGGCATATTCAGTAGGCAACAACAAATGTCATTAACTTTGTGTGAAACTTTGCAAGGAAATTCTAACCTGAGATAATTTTCATGCTAATGGCTAATGCAATTTTACCCCCAAGTATGTGATTGTCTCCATAAATTCTCATTAGCACTCAATCCTACCTTGAGTGGAATCGCATTACCATAGACATATTAATCAGATTATTCCTTACAAAATTATACACAAACTCGTTATGGAGTACCCCCATTTATTACCACCTACCAAACCAATATTCCACCTATATGGCATCCCAACATGTAATAAGCATTACATATTACTTGACTATAAGAAGTTGATAGAAGCATAGAACATCCTTCCTAACACAAACACCCTTTAAGAGCAAAATTGAGATCTAAAAATCAAAATTCCTACTCTAATTTAGTAATTTCAATCACTATCATCACAATTAATAAAATGCAACACACTTTACTAAACTCAACTACTCAAATCTATAACAATTGTCAATTTTTGGCTTTGAATATAAATCAAAATTTGTTTCCATACGATTCATATATGTTTTGTGCAAGGCCTCACATAAGAGTCAGGGTATACTCTATACTCTATAGCTTACTGTATCAACCTCTTGATTTTCACAGCTGTTTCACACATGTTAGATTGAATCCAATAACAAGTCGAAAACAAATTACATTAAATTGAAACTTAATGGATTCTGTTTTTCATAAATTACATAAACCCTAGAATTTTGTTTTTCATAAATTACATAAACCCTAGAATTTTGTTTTTTATCTTCCAATTCTGTTAAATTCATACAAAATTTGGGCATGAATGGCATGTAAAATAAATTAAATTAACTTATTTAAAGAATTCATCAATCAGTAACGCAACTAATTCAACAATTCAACATAATCTAAGTAATCTAACAAGCACTAAAGCAACTAATTCAACTATTGAAATTGAAAAATAAAAACTAATTCACTAATTAAACAAATTAACAAACCAAAATTATTAAACAAGTAAACAAAATAACATATAAATTATTAAATTAAAAGTAGGATTATAGGAAGCTTGGAACATTAAAAAATTAAAATGAAAACTGAAAAATCGAAAAATTGAAAGCACTTACGTGAGTTTGTTGCTGCAATGAAGTCGCCACTGCCGGAGAAGTGGGTTGAGGCCATGAGGTGTCGCTGAGCAGTCGGAGGTGACGGACTGAGAGAGGAATTCTAGATCTCAACCAGATGGAAGAAGATGAAAGGTTCAACAAAAACCCTAATTAATAAACTAACCAACCATAGATTTAGATCCAAAAAATCTTCTTAACTTAACAAAATCGCAAACCCTAGACGATGAAGAACAACAAAAATAGCGAGGAACCACAAATCTCATTGAATTTCGAATATCAACACAACAAATCAACTTGATTCACAAACATTAAAACCCCCAAAATCAGAAGGAAGAGAAGAACGAGACATCAGAAGGAAGAGAAGAACGAGAGATCAGAAGGAAGAGAAAAGAGATCTTAGAGTAGAGATGAGAGAAAAGAACGAGAGATCAGAGAGGAGATGAGAGAGAAGAGAAGAACAGAGAATCGGAGATGAGAGAGAAGGAGAGAGGAGAGCATGAATGAAAGAGGCGGATGAGAGAGAGGAAGGGTTTATTATACGTATACCCTGATTTTTTATTATTTCACACCGGTTTGAACCAGTGCTAAAACAACATTCCCCACCGGTTTGGTTTGAACCGGTGTGAAAAGCCTTTTTTCCAATCCCGCCCATTTCTTTTGCCACCGGTTTTCAAGAACCAGTGCGAAAGGCGCGGTGCCTAATTCATTTTTTCTACTAGAGGTGCTTTGATTTTCTTGCCAAGTTGATTTTCAATTTCACTCTGAAACTCTTTGAATTTCTCAAAAGATTTAGATTTGTTCGACATAAGGTAGAGATAACCATATCTACTATAGTCGTCGGTGAAGGTAATGAAATATCGATTACCTTGCCTTGCGGGTGTACTTATTAGTCCACATACGTCCGTATGTATTAGACCCAATAAGTCACTAGCCCTTTCTCCTAACTTGGAGAATGGTTGCTATCATCTTGCCTAATAAACATCCTTCACAATTTTCAAACGACTCTAAGTCGAATGAGTCAAGAATACCTTCATGAAGAAGTTTCTTGATGCGTTTGATGTTAATGTGGCCAAGACGACAATGCCACATGTAGGTTTGATTCGACTCGATGGTCTTAGCTCTTTTGGCGGTATCGTTAATGTTATAAACTTGTTTGTCTAGAGAAAGTACATAAAGAACATTTTCTGAATATGCCTTACCATATAAAACATTATCGAAATAAAATGAACAACTATTGTCTTTTATTCGAAAATCAAATCCCTTGGAGTCCAACGCCAAAATTGAAATAACGTTTTTGGTAACTCTTGGATAACAATTGTCAAGTTCTAAAACAAGCCTAGAAGGCAAAGACAAACTGAGAGTTCTGACGGATACGGCAGACATCCTTGCTCCATTGCCGACCCGAAGCTCGACCTCTCCTTTCTCTAGCCTCCTATTTATCCTTAATCCCTGAGCATTGGAACAAAGGTGTGAACCACATCCGGTATCTAATTCCCATGATGTTTTGCTACCGAAGTTTAAGTCTATAACAAAAATACCTGATACAGAAGCAACGGTGCCGTTCTTCTTATCTTCCTTGAATTTGAGGTAATCTCGCTTCCAATGTCCTTTCTTCTTGCAGTAGAAACATTCGGAATTGAATTTAGAAAAGGCTACCTTCTTGTCCTTGCCGCTCTTAGCAGCACTTGACTTAGGCGGAAAATTCTTCTTCTTTTTCCCTTTAAAGCTTCCCTTCTTGCCCGAGCGCTTAAATGGCTTTCCCTTTTTCACCATGAGCATATCATGCTTCCCCTCATCCTTGAGGGTTTGCTCGGCCTGCTTCAACATACCATGAAGCTCGGTGAGGGTTTTCTCCATGCTGTGCATATTATAGTTCATCTTGAACTGATCATAGCCTTTGTGCAGCGAATGGAGAATGATGTCAATTTCCATCTCGGTTGAATACCATGCATCAAGCCTTTCCATGTTCTTAAATAATCCAATCATTTTAAGAACATGCGTGCTGACTGGCTCTCCTTTCTTGAGCTTGCTCTCAAGGATCTGCCTGTGGGTTTCAAACCTTTTAGTTCGGGCCTGCTCTTGCACTAGGCGAAAAATATAAATGGGCACCGGTTCCCCCATTTAGCACCGGCTTTGAACCGGTCCTTATTTGAGGGATGCCAAAAACTTAAAGATTTTGCACCGGTTCCGGTGCGAAAAATGGCCCAAAAATATTAAAAAAAAAAAACTTTTAGCACCGGTTCTGTTTCAAAACCGGTGTCAAAAATGCCCCAAAAAAATAATTTTTTTTTTTTTTTTTTTTTTTTTTGCATTTTTTTCACTTAAATTGATATATAAACACTAACATATATATAAAGTTACATATTTTCGTTAAAAATGGCTGTAATATTACAATTTTCGTCCAAAAAAATAAAAAATAAAATAAAATAAAATACAAGGTTATACAACTGCTTTTCCCTTTTACCTCTTAGAGACGTACTCCTTATTTACAATCTTAGAGTATATCCTATGGTTAGCATTTTGCAGTAATTGTCTTAGAAAATCTACCCAAAAATAGGGAGAAATTTACTAGCAGTCTAGCAAATACTCTATGAGGCAGAGCGAGTGAGCTTAGGCTTGGAACTTGTCTTGTCTTCCTCGAGCATAAGATTATACTTTTCTTAGGCATGAGAAATATTAATGCACCAAATAAAAAAATTGTTCCTGTACAGATACAAGTAACAACCAATGCAGTACACAAGTGATAATGGATTGTAACAACCAATGCAGTGCTAGTAATTGTCAGTCACAAAATTTTGGGAAATCATATTAATTTATGTTACAAATCAGGCCATAATGTAATGGCATGGCACTACAGTAGGCATGCTTAATATCAACTTCCTCCATTAAGATATATACGCTGCATAACACTATGGGATATTAAGTACATGACATGGTAATACAATCATGGATTTGAAGGAGCCTGATTAGACATTGGAACCTTCACAAACTCACATGATCACTCAGTATTAACTTGGGGTATACCTAGAAATCCAGAATAAACCAAAAAAAATTTACACTAGGTGACAACATTTTTCCAGACATCCTTAATTAAGTAGATGTGATTACTACTTCCAAAAAAAGAGAGTATCATATGAAAGCCTCCCAAATATTCATTGAAGCAAGCTTCATATAGAAGCAAAACAGCTCACCAGATAATCAGATACACCGCGTGCATATATCTTTTCAATAGCTAGAACAGCCTCCGGCCTAGCAAACAATGGTTAATAATGCAACAGTATAAGCTAGTCAAGATCTTCAGGATTAGGAATAAAAAAAAATCAAGAAGAAAAACAATCACCAATAATCAGTTCCACACTTTAACTCCTAAGGTAGTATTGAATAGAGATAACACAACAACAAAGCCTTAATCCTAAAATGACATAGTGCTGGCTAACATAAAACATCATAAGGAACCGTCTGCAAAAAGTAAATAAATAAGTTAAAGCAAGTAAACAAAGAGAAGTGATAAAATGGAAGTGGACAAGAAAACAACAGGAACATAGTGAGCAAGAAAACGAAAGCGGTGTAAAGTGGAAACCCAAGATGAGGATATACAAATAGAAATTGAGGAAGACTTACCTAAGAGGGCTATAAGAGATAAAAAGAGAGGGAAAACCACATGAGAAATAGCATTGAATTTCTTCTGAATCTCTAGCATAGAATAGAGATATGCCATTGAACTTCTTTTGAATACTCATGAGGACCAAGATTCAAAGTTCATCTATGCATTATAGTATCAAAGAACTTTAGACTAGCCAAAAAAGCACTTTATAGTTCACGTTTCTAAATAGCTTAAGCAAAAAATTATTATGAAAGATACTGATAATCAACAATGACACAGATGTATTGATACAAGCAAAATCACTCCAGGTTCAATCTCAGTGCAACACAAACATGCCTCAATAGGCTAACTAGCCAGGCGTGTCTAGTTAAGCACGGATTTGTTCCCCATCTTCCTTTCCAATCCGCACAAACGAATTCTTTTCCAACGAACACAAATGTGCTTCTTCTATCCCAAAAATGCCTCAACAGATCAGAGAAACCACATAGCTTCCTATTTACTTAAACCCAAGTCAATCATCCTTATGCCTCCATACTAGCTTGAACCATCTCTACATAACTCCACACACTACCCAAGGTAATTCAAACTTTGTATGAACTTGAATCTAGTCCTGGGTTAGCATAATGAGACCAAATAAAGAAATTTCACCAAATAGTTGTGCTATGTGTTCAGCACTTAGGATTCCCATCTATTGTGGCAATTGTAAAACAGTTTACAAGGGACAATTTTTTACTTTGGATTACCACAAATAAAATCAAGAGACAACCTTCAAATCAAGAGTCTATCAAAAGCAGTGTCTTCCATAGTTATCAGGTGAAAGCTAACAAATCATCATTTTGCAATTCAATTGGTAGATGCATGCAGTTAACCACCTATAGTGGGATCGTTGTCAAAGGCATAGGGGTGATGGCACGGCATGATGTTTAATGCTTTACACAGGTGACGTAGAAAGATCAATGAAATTCTCAACTCTGGACATAACTTTTCTGAGTTGCTTAGGGTATTGGACTTCACCTTACTAGTTACTACAAACAATGTATGTTGTTTACAGGCAGCATGAAAATAAAAAGATCCCAAAATCAGCATGATCTATTAGAAATTTCCATATTGATGTATACTTGTATCTGTAGAGGAACAACAGTCAACAGTACAGTCCTCGTGGTATTCTTTTTAACACCAAGAAATTATTTGTCTAAATTCAATATGAACCTTATCACTTGTGGACGACTTATGTGCTATCTTTTTACTTTATCACAAGTTGTATACAAAGTTGTAGTCAGATCAGCAGTTTAACATGTCAAAATGATTATCAGCTATATGAAGTAAAGTTGTTCTAGTTTAGGATCAAGATATAATCATATTTTTAAAGCTTATTCAAGGTAAATTATGGTGACCAATACACTAAATAGATGAATATTTTGCATCAGGAAACTCACCGGGCCAAGATCCACCATTGTGGTAACTTCACCGAGTATTTTTAGATTCATACCCAGTAATAATTTTCCATTCATTACCCTCTAGAGCTAGATAAGTCATCCTCAAGGGAATCTCTCCAATTAACTCATCACCACCACCGCACCCACGAAAACACCACCACACCCAAGAACCCACCACCACTAGCACCGACCACCGTCACCATAATCACAATGAAATAAATAAAAATCAGAAATCCTATCATCTCACATTCTCACCATTAAATTCAATCAAAATTCCAATTGTTCATCATTAATAAAAAAAAAAAATCATAAAACCTAGATTTCAAATCGAAGAGCACATACCTCGAATTTGTGATTTTTGAATCGATAATTGATTCAAGTTTGTTATTGTTGTTGTATTTGGTTCACATTGACGGTGGCGGCGATGGTGGTTGTGCTTGGTTATGAAGAAGGAGAAGGAGATCGAAAGAGAGAAGAAAGGAAAGGGAAAGTGGCGGTTATGGAGAAGGAGATCGAAGGAGAGAGAAGGAGGTTGAGGAAAGTGCTGAGAGAAAGCTCAGAAGCCCCTTCAATGGAGACTGTCGAGTACGTTTCAATGGAGGAGAGAGAGAGGCAGATGAGAGAGGAGGAAAGATCGAGGAATTGAAAGAGAAAGAAAGAAGATTATAACCGGTTTTTTTACTTTTATTTTACAACAGCTTTCACCGCTTCGAACTGAACCGGTGCGATTTACTCACTTTTCGCACCGGTTTTGTTAGAACCGGTGCAATTAATTAATTTTTCGCACTGGTTTGGTTAGAACGGGTGTGAAAACTCTTTCCCTCAATCCCGCCTATTTTTTTTTTCGCACCGGTTTTAAAAAATCGGTGCGCATTTGGCGATGCCCATTTAAGTTTTTCTACTAGTGTTGGAACATGTTCTGAAGTTCAGAAATGATCTCTAAAGCTGTCTCCTTTTCAAAGAAAGTCTTTTGAAGGTCCGGAGACATAGTGGCGAGCATGATGCACTTGACATCCCGATTGGCACTTTACCATCGGTTAAGGGCAGCCTGAGTGACCTCCTTATTGGGAGTGTCGGGCATTTCCTCATCAAGGACGTATTCCTTTTTCTCTTGCATGAGAACAATACGCAAGTTCCTTTGCCAATCAAGAAAATTTGGCCCACTCAACTTCTCCTTGTCGAGAATTGAGCGTAATGAAAATTGGTTGTTTGAGTTATTTGCAGACATGTTTCTATAATTGAAAGAATTTGAAATGAAAAACCATTCATAGACCAATAAGTTTGAAATTTAAAGCATACATGCAAAATTTCAATCTTATTGAGCGTTTTATCCACGCATTAACATTAGTCCCTTTTTAGCGAGAATAAAACGATTCCAAGATCCTAAAATCAAAAAGTGATTAAGCATGCTTTGGCTTGTCTTAACACTTAATATTTTAAGGTAATCAATCCAATTGCTAATAGCTCCAAGCTACTCTTGGTTCGATAAAACGTCGCATCTAATGCTTCCATGACATTATATCTCCATTGCCACGACATCTAAGGACTCCTTACCGATATCGTTGAGCTTAACCAAGACCAACTTGTATACCTAGTATACCTTACGTTCCTAGGGAAGTAGTGATGCCTCGCTTTGGCGTAGCCCATCACTATGCGCATTAGTTCGGTAAGTGTTGTTCTTGGAATGGCAAATTTGGCTCAATATTATAAGGACCGAGGGTTTCTATGTTGGTTGATTTAAGTGAACTTAATTAATCATCGCAACATTTAAAATCCTAAACATGCATCCATCATACCATTCAATTATATATAAACACAATTATATATATAAAGAACATAAGTAAAAGATGCATTTGGCAACTAGCATGACCCCTTGAGCCTTCAAGTCTTCAAGGGTCTTCGATGCATCCTCTTGGCTTGTCTTCTTAGAAACGCCGTCTTGAGACATCTCCGCCAAATATGCAACTACTAGTTACTATGACTAGGATTAATCTGAATATTAAGGTACAAAAATACGCAACGGCACACAGACCATATCTGGATTTACATAAACACATAACGGATCACAGTCTGTATTTACTATCCGAGTCGGGCCTCATTAGTTGCCATTTTCTCAAAACCTATGAAACAATATACATTCCATTCATCCATTCACTATTTGTGAATGCCCTATCCATTTTACAACGAAAAACAAGTAACAATGCATATCACATGCAAACTAGTAACCAACTTAGGTGGTTAATCCGATTAACGCGCCTAATTATAACTAGTCAAAGTTGTTTAACATTTTATGTGATTAAGACGCAATTAGTTCAAGTAATCAACGAAGCTCCCACTAAATTCCGCATCCAACTTAATTAATCCAATTAATCAAGCCGATTAACCCATATATTGCCAAATTATTTTGCAAGTGCTGGAGGAACCGAGGCCTAGCCTCTTTAAAATAAGTAAATAAAATAATTAAAATCGGCCCAGTTACGCAAAATGATAGCCCACCAAATTCCAAGTGCCTAGCATCCAAGCCATGGGGTTAGGCTTGCTAGGCACCAAGGCCATGGCTGTGCGTGCTGGCATGCCTGCCTAGCAGAGCACGCTACGATTGCTGGCACCAGCAGCATCGCAGCATGCTACGCATGCTTACGTGCATGCTCGCGCTGGCAGCATGTGGCTGGGTTTGCTGGGGCTCGCATGCCTTGCTGCCCAGCAGCACTTGCGGGCACCTTCTAGCAGCCACACAGCACACGCATCAAGCACGCACATAGTGTGAACCCATCCCGCCACACAGCAGTAGCATCTTGAGGCATGAGCACCTCCATGCACAACTAGGCAGCCACATGTGGGCTGCGTGGGCAGCCTGGCTAGCCGTAGGTGGCGCTTGGGCGATTTTGCCTCGATTTACGTGATTTTATCTCGGGATTTTAATCCTGATATATGTGTGACATAAAATTGATTCTAAATTAATTTTAGAATCAACATTGAGCAAGAATGAAAATATAACAAGTCTAACTTTAATAAATTCAATTTTAGTGCACAAATCAAGATTAATTCAAGAACCTTTCTTTAAATTAATTTAGGTTCATCTTGATGCTACAAAACTGAAGGGCTATACTCATAATTAATTTAACCATTCATAAATTAATAATAAGATTTGACAAAATTAAAGAGGTTGGAAAAACAAACCCATTCATCTAATGAAAAATTTCCGACATTAACATGTGTAACATTGAGAAATTACATCTTCCAATATGAAGATTAATTAAATTTCAATCACAAGTTTTGAACTTTTAGGACTTTAATCAACTAAAAAATGATTAAATCCAAAAATTAGTTCAACATGGAATTTAGCAAGAAAAGTTCCAACCAAATAAACAATTAAAGATTGGATCATTAACATTTTAAGGGACTTCAAAATTACACATTCACCATAAACACTCACACTTGAAGCAATTAATTTGCAAAATTGTGAAATTTCAAGTTTATGTGAAAAATGAACTTACCAAATTAAGCACCAATTATGACTTCCTAAACATGCTTAATAAGGTTTAATCTACCTTTAACATGCCATAATTAATAAAGGTTTAAAGATTTAAAAGTTTCGTCTAAAACGAAAACCCCTCGAAAAACATGTTTCTGGGTGGATTTTGGCTTCTGAACAGTCTTCGAAGAGGGTCGAAAACAATTTGGAACATCAATTCCACCCAAAAATCACTGTTTTTGAGTCGAAATCTGGGTTCGTAGGCCAAAATTAGTATAATAACGAGATTAAAACGAATTAAAACGAGCTTCTAATCTAATTAGAAAGCAAAATCAGAATTTAAATCCATTTTAAATCACCTCAATTAATTATTAGTTACAATAATTAAAATGAACCTGGCTCTGATACCGTTGTTGGGTTTCGTTGTAACACCCCAATAATTCTCTCTTTACAAAAACCAGTAAAATCCTGTATTAACCTGCATAACCTGTAAATACTTTTAATAACCTGTGAGAGAATTACTGGTGTGCTACAGCCACGTGTTAAAACGTTAAGGCTAGTTTCAGAAATCGGCAGCGGAAAACAAACTTAGTTTTAAAAAGAATATAAGTTTCAAAACCAAAAAGTCAAGACTCAATTTAGTCTTACAAGTTAAAACCATAATGGCCCTTATTCAAAACCCAGTTAAATAGGAAGCGAGCAGAATTAGAGTCAAAATAACATCAATTTATGAAATGAAATAAGCTAAATGATTAACCAACGCTCCACTCAAATCCCATCACCCTGATGCTAATCAGTTTATGCAAAAACCTGTGATTAGTCTACTCCCCAATATTACAAGTGTAAAATTGGATCATTACAGGGTCATTGAAGGCGAAGTCCATGACCTAGAGAAACACACAAAAGCACATCATCAGCAAAGCTGAGTACATACAAGCTACGAAACATAGTAAAGAGCCTTAGCATGATACTAACAAGCATTACATACACTCAATATAATCATTGACTCGAACACATGATTCAATTGTTACTTATTACAAAGTTTTCTCTAGATAGCATTGATCACTTCGTTAATTTGTTTGGGTTAAGCAATAGACCGGGTTGTCCCCCTATGCTCCATTCCGGAACATTAAATAAGAAAACCCTATGCCTCCTTTCGGAAGACATTGATAAACATCCAATGGCAGACGGGCGCGACTCCGTGACCATAGCTAGTATGAGATCTCATCTAACTCATTATAATTTTAAAAGAATTTAAAACAAGAGACTCGTAGATCAGACGACCTCTGAAAAGTGCACGGCTAATACCCCGTGAACCCCAACCCCTGTTTGTCATTACTCTAGATGTGCACAAATCTAGAGTTTTATTGCTCATCCTTCTTGCACTTTACGTGATTTACCAGTTTAAATTTTGTGATGACTCATATGCAAATAACACAACCAATCATACATCAATCATTCAAATCATTCAAGTTTCCAATTCAATTCATAATTTATCAGTGACAAACAACATTTATTATTGAATCCTTTAACTACCTCGGTGTATAAACACCTTAAATGCATAAGGCACCTCATATCCACAATCTTGTCTTATAAGACTTTAACTCTACCTTTACTCATTCCATTTCAATACAAATGAATAAGTAATTAAAATAATTCATTCCATATATCCTTGTATTTTTGCCTCTAAGCTCACTTTGCAAATTATTGCATAAATAATGCTCATAAGGAAAATCAATGCAAATTTTCTCATACATAAATTAAACCAATCATCACATTTATCATCAATCAACCCATTACCAAACAATGTCAACCAATCCACAAGTTCCCTAGCATGATTCTAGGTTTTTCCAAGTCCCTAAACATGCTCCTAAAATCAAGGTTCTTCGTATTCTTGTACGTACCTTGAGTACACGAATTGGTTGGCCACTTTAAGGCTAGAAGTCACCTTCTACGAAGTCCTCTCCGGCTGGGCGGCGGCCGTAGCAGCAGCGAAAGTCTCCGGTGGTGGAGGCAGCAGTGACGGTTTCAGGCGGCAGTAGCAACGAAGGCAGCATGCTAATAAAGTACATAAACTTTGGCTAAGTATGAGTTTATGGAGCATAAGCTCAGTTGTTAGGCATATATGATTGAGAAACAAGCAAATTACAGCAATACAAAACGTAATAGTTTTGAGAAATTATAGATTTTGGGTTAAGTTTCGGGGACGAAACTTCTTTTAAGAGGGGTAGATTGTAATCCCCCATATTTTACTTAGTAAATAATAATTATTTTTTTTTATATACAAAAATATTTTATAATAATTCTATACTTGTATAAATAATTTTTTTTTTGGAAAGATTTGACAAAAATAAAAACAAGAATTTTTAAACCCATATTTCCATTTTAACTAAGTAAATTTACTCCTTATTTCCCC